TTCAATATATTATTAACTTATTAAATATAAAGAAACTCAAAGAAACTATTAACAGCTTTCAGAGATATTGTAATGTGACGGAATTAAAGTGATAACTAGTCAGCAGTGTTGTGTAGAAATAGTTATTAAGAAGCTATATAAGTGAGCTTAACTATCTTGCTTAAATAGTGAGCTTGTAGACTACAGAGTTATTATGAGAATATCACAGATATAATACTTAATATATTAAGAAAATTATATAAGAAATGCAGTAACTCTCATATCTATTTCAGTCAGAGAAAAATAAATCACTAACTTCTTTAATAAGAAGTCAGTATCTAGCTATTCTATACAGATAATGAGCAGATACTCTTCTCTTATTTTATAAGTAAGAATAGCTAAAGTGATACCTTAGCAGTATCTTACTATTAAGAAATTGTAATCTGCTGATCTTATATAAAAGCAGAGTTCTTATATTCATTAATCAGATCTTTCTATGATATATCTGAATAATGTTATAAAGTGATTAAAAACTGATTCAGATAAGATAAAATCATCTATATAAAAGTAATAAACTATATAAAACTGTAATAAAGTCTTAGTATAGTTAGAAGTATAATAATACTCTCTTCTTTAAAAGTATACTTCTGATATTTTTAAGATTATCAGATTAGAAGTTATCTTTATTATATAGTAATAATTATTAATTAATTAACAGTGTATATATTATATATAATATAAAAAAATAGATAAGTTTTTCTGCTGACTGTATAGATCTTTCTTTCTCATCTCTATTTAAATTAAATATATGATAAGTGAGTTTCTTATATATTAATTTAAAATGTGAAAAATATAGTTAATAAGTGACTTACAGATCTCTTATCATATTTTATTCTATATATAAAATTCTCTGTAAAAGTGATGTATTTTAGAGATAAAGTTAACAGTAGTAATAGAATTTTTTAAAAAGATTCTCTCTCTTTATAATACAATTTTTCTTTCTTTCTTCTCATTTTTAATAGTGAGTGTATGAGAGTATCATTCTTATAAGATAATAAGAAACTTATTCTGATATTTTCTAGTGAGTAAAAATGTCTTCATGATGCAGCTGCAGTCTTCATGACTGTCAAGAAAGCTCAGTTGAAGATGAAGACAGCAGTGTTAATGAGCTGTAGAAGCACTGCTCTCATTGCTACATCTTCTTCTCCTTCTTCCCCTGCTTCTCTTGCAGCCGCGGTGGTAGTCACTGTGCCTTGCAGTGAGATGTTGTCCCTTCTGCCAGTCGGTTCGTCCGTGTCCGGTTCTTCCCCTGCCCTCTCCACCGCGACACCGCTCCCCTCACCAGCCAACACGGTGGCATATGACCCTGTGTGGTCATTCAGAGAGAACTCTGGGGAGAGCTTGGTTTCAGAGACAGTGACTCTGAGAAGCTCAATCTGTAGTTTCTCTTCTATAATATACCTGAGCCCTGCTAAGAATACTGCTGAGTTAAGTCTGCAGAGTTCTGTGATTTCTTTATCTTCTCTCTATAAGAAGGCTTTAGTACAGTCTCTGATCAGTACTGTTATATATTTACACTATGCTAAGCAGCTGAAGAAGAAGAGAATTTTATATATTCATTTCTTCTCTTACTCTTATTATTTTTATTACATCTGTAATAATAACTTCTATCTCTCTATAAGTATTACTTACTCTATAAGAAGACATTATATCAGTTCTAATTAGAAGCTTAGATATTTAAGCAGTACAGAGTAAGAGTCTCAGAGCTTTAAGTATTAATAGATTTTATTAAGACTGAAGAGATCTTTCTTACTTATCTATAAAAGAAGATAAAAAATATAAGTCTTTAAGATAAAAAAACATCTCAGAATAACTGATTCTAAGAAGAGATTAACTAATACTACTATTAAAAGTATTATAGAGATTAATCACTGATTAAAGAGAATCTCACTTTAATTAAAGTAAATAACTGAGATACTTTATAAATTAATAAATTAATACTTTAAGTATCTCTTATACTCTTCTATAGCATGCTTCTCTATAATACTGCAGTACTAACTTCTCAGTAGATAAAGATATCAGTGTTAAAAACTTTAATAATAAAGAATAAGTTTAATAAGAGTATAATTATTAATGAGTAGAGTTTAGTTTCTCTTTTCACTTTTTCAGTAAGCTATAGTCTTATTAGAATAGTAGTAATCTGCAGATTAATAATATTAATCTTTTTATTAATTTCAAATATTTCTTTTCTCTAATTACTTCAGAAATTTTATACTTATATAGTCTTATTAAACTTCTAAAAATTCTTTGAGAGAAAATAAAAGAAGAGTATTATAAAGTTTGTAAAATATCAGTTTATTACTATAAGATTATCTTTAAAAAATTCTTTGAAAAAAATAAGAAGTTTTAAACAGTATTTCTTACTTAATATCTCTGATATATAATAGAGCAGTCTTTACTTATCATTTTATAGTTTATAATCTCTTTCTCAGTATTTTTCAAATACTTAAACAGTTCTGATAAATTCTCTGATAATGAATAATCTTCTTATTTAATAAGATATTAAAGCTTACTATAATATATTTATTTATTCAATATTTTCTTTATAAGATATTCAGTATCACTCTTAATCTTAATATTATTCAGTTAAGATAGCTTCATCTCAGAATATTACTTATAAAGCTTTAAATAGAAAATGTGAAAAATAGAATAAATTGATTTTAATTCTGAGAATAATTTTAACTTATATATCTGCTTATTCATTACTCTTATTATCAGAAAAGATTCTAGTTACTACTCACTAAGCTTCTTATATAATCTTATTATCTTGATATTGTTTACTGAAAGTAGTATTTGATTCTCTATTAAGAACTTTATTAAAAGATGTTTTTAATTATAGTATTCTATCTATTATTTCTGAATATAATAGATACTTTTCATCATCTTCTTATAAATTTTATTTAAAAGTTTCAATCTTACTTTTACTTCTAATACTGAGAAATACTTTATTCTCTGTATCTATTTAATATTCTGACTATTTATTTCTCTCTTTAAAATATTATTCATGATGTCACTGAGTAGTGAAGAATTATATTCATAATAAATATAGAAAGAAGATACTTTTAAGATTACATTCTTTATATTATTATATATAAATTCAGTAATTAGAAGATGTTTAAGTCAATCATTCTGATAATATAAATAGAATATTTAAAGATACTGTTTTAATATCTGATTTTAATATTCAGTCTGATCATCTATCTGCAGATGAAATACAGTACTGAGAAGATATCTTATTATAAGATAATAGTAAAAAGCTGATCAGTATTTACTGATAAAGAGAGATTTTTAATCTGTTATTAATAATTTCAGAGTACTGTAATTATAAATAATAATATCTAAAAATAGATCAGTCAATTCAGAGGCTTTAATCTTTTTATAAGTAGAAATATATTTTATCATCTTTATAAAATAATCAATAATAATCAAAATTGAGTTATATTCTTTGACTCTTGTTAACTTCAGTAGATTAATTATAAAATCTATTAATAGATTCTACTATAAGCTCTTTGAAACAGACAGTGATATTAACTTACTATATTACTTATACTATAAGATCTTTATTCTTTAATAGATATTATAAGTCTTAATATACTCTTTAATATCTGTTCAGAGCTTATTTTAAATATATTTATATTTTAGAAGCTTTTCAGTCTTCTCTAACTCAAAGTGTTCTGTATGAGAATTATTATAATAAATTCTTAATAACTTCTAATACATTATTCTACTATAAGAAATGAAGACTGAATTATTTAACAGTAGAAGTTTATATTCTTCTAGTTATCAGTAACTTGATTTCTTAGCAGTATTATTCTACTCAGAGTCTGTCTCTTTTAAGTTTAAACTAAATTCTTTCTTCTTCAACTTCTGAATTCAAGCTGTAGTAGAGATATCTCTCTTCTATAACTTATTAATAAAATTTAAAAGTAGTTAGATTAAAAGATTATAGATTATTTCATTCTTTATTAATTCAATGATAGTAAGATATAATATAAAAAGCTTATAATCTTCAGTGTCAGTTCTCTACAGAGATTCAGGTTTTTTTTCATCTTTTATACTGAGTTATACAGCTGTCTTATCAGCACTGTTCTCAAGCTTCAGAGAATCTCAATTCTCTGCAGTTAGCTTCTTCTGCAGTGATGACAGAGATTCTTTTATAGAATTCTTCTCTGTATCAACAATATTATAATCAGACTGTTTAAATAGTATATCAGTGAAATTAAGCTGATCTGAATAATATCAGATATAAAAATCATACTTTAAAAGCAGCTCTACTCATCTGACTTGATGTTCTATCAAGCTCTTTATTATCAAGAAGTAACATAGATTTGTATAATTAGTGAGAACTTACACTGAGTACTTACTATTCTGAAGATAATATCATCAGATCTTAAAGAATTCAATAATTATTAATATCTCTTAATTATGAATATCATATCTTCTCTGCATAAGTAATAACTTCTTGAAGAAGAAGATCACTAATCTTTATTTACAGTGTCTTATAAACTCTATAAAAAAGTCTTCTCTTATAGATATTTTATTATCTATATTCTCAGAAATGATTATTCTCTGATTCTTTTAATATTAAAAGGTCTTCAGTGTTATCTGTGAAAAGATTCTATGAATTTTATTCTCAGATATATCAGTCTCACACTGACTAAGTAAGTCAGAATTAAAGTGATTCAGTATTATAATATCTGTAAAAGCTTATTTCAATTCTGCAAATGCCTGTACAGTGTCTTGAGTGAGAATAAACAGTCTCATTTTTCTGTCTTTCATACTTCTCTTTAACAGATCTGTAAGAAAGACAGTAATCTATGAATATATATAGATGAATTATCTGTAGAAGTTCATAAATTTTAGAAACATCTGTATCTTATAATACATCTACAGTGCTGATCAGTTCTCAATAATGAAGACTCATCTTCTGTTTATTAAAATACTATTCATCTTAATAATATAATCTAAGAAATCAATTTTCTACATGTAGAATAAGCATTTTTCAGTGTATATATAGAGTTAATACTGTCTTAAGCAACTCAACACTTCTTGAATATAAGTATTATATTCTTTCTCTGTTTTTGAGAAGATTAGAATGTCATTCAAGTATACTATATAAAAGACATTGACAAGGCCTCACAGCATCTTATTTATATAGATCTGAAAGATGACTGAAGTATTATAAAGATTAAAAGATAAAACAAGATATTCAAAATTACTGTACTTAGTATAAAAAGCTGTTTTTCAAATATCATCTTTATTAACTCTGATTCTATAATAGATATTCTGTATATCAATCTTTAAGAATATCTTTGCTTCAGATAATCAGTTAATCATCTCATTAATTAATAGTAATAAATAGTGATTCTTAATCATCATCTTATTAAGACCTCTATAGTCTATACATAGACATAGTCTATTATTCTTCTTAAGTATAAAGAGTATAGACATCTCTGCTGAACTCTTTGATAAGTGTATTCAGTTCTTTGATTGTGCTTTCTCAAGATATTTACACAGAACATTCAATTTCTTTATAGATAAGTTATAAGAAAGTCTGTATAACATTATTACATTATCTTCAAAATAAATCTTATATTATATCTTAATATCAGAAAACTTCACTACTTCTCTTTTCAAAAAGACATTCTTATAATCTGTAAAGAGATATCATATACATTCATCTTCAATGATAGATACTGCTACTAATCTTACAGTGAGAATAATGACTTCTTTATCTATTCTTAAGTCTCAGTCATCTGTTACACAGTATATTAACTCTATCTTTTTCTTAAGATTCTTCTGATGAAACTCTTCAGATTTCTCTATTACTATCTCTTCATTAGTGAGACAGTACTGTCACATTTAAGCAACTCAGTCAATGAGAGAATTGTTTTCTCTCAATTACAGAAGATCTAGAATAATGTTCTTATCTATAATATTAACTATATGAAGAAGCAGACTGCTCTTCTTGAAGATTTCTTCTAAGTCTGTGATCATATACTTCACTTGAATTATGCTAAAACAGTAATATTTTATTTCATCAGTAAATTTCACATAGTCTGACAGATCTATCTTCTTCTAATTCTTTATCAAAGAAAAGAAATAGAATATGAAGTTAATATTCATTTCAGAGTTGAGTAGATATCTCACTAGTATCTTCTTATTCAGAGTATTTATTATGATTATAACATGAACTTAAAGATATGAGAATTATTAATTCTTTATTTCTTTCTCTTCTTTATCTTTCACAGATACATTTGTTAGAAGAGAAGTTAACTTTAAGAAGATATCTTCTCAGTTTCTTCTCTTCTTCAGCTTCTTATAATCACTAGTATAGTGATTATTAACTTCACAGTTAAAACAGAGATCTTTATCAAATCTTTTTTTATATTTCTTCACAGTGAGTGAAGAATCAGAATACTTGAAATTCTTCTTTACTTTCTTCATACTGAAGCTATCACAGTGTTATTTAGATCTTATCATTGATTACTTAGAAGAGATCTTATTAATCTTTTTCTCAGAGAATTGATTATTTAAATAGATCTGAGAAGCCAGGTTGACAAGCTCAGTGTAATTAATTGATAGACTCAGATACTGTAATATTATTATTCACACCTTGTGAGTCAGCTTTGTGAGATAAAGCTGTG